CCGGCTGTAACCATCAGTGTGATAGCTTTCTGTGCCGATTCAAAAGCTTTATCTCCGGGTTTCATTGCAGTGAACACTGAATGCCAGAAGCATCCTCAAACAAGGCTCCCCACATATGGAACGACTTACAATGCATACCTCAGATATTAACCCCCAGCCCAAACTCTCCCTTCGTCCTGCCTCCAAAGAACTGCTCCAGTGCTGCCTCTGCTGAAATCCATCCTTGCCTCTGAAAAGCTTTTGTGGTGTTTTTAGTTGTAACCTTGCAAAAGAAGTAGGAGCCCTTGCAAAGACCAGCAACCAGACTGCTGGTACACGAGCGAAAACTCAGGTTGGGTTTCGAATTCATCTGGCTGCATTAGATTTAAACGCAATATATGAACGGCAAGAAAAACCACGCAAGCCACAAAACGCATCAGCCTGAAAATGCATTTCAAAGGAGGCAAGGAAGTGATTTGTGTCTGTCAGCTTGATGTTTTCTGAAGGAGGTCACCGTAACGAATAGCTGCGGTGGGTCCCGCACAGGCGCCCTGCCACCCCGCCCTCTCCTGTGCAGTGCTCGGCACAAAGACGCGTACTCGGCTTTGTATCTAAAGCTTTATTAGAACAATCCCCAAGGGCTGTAAAACAGTGGCGTAACAACAAAATTAAATATTAAACACTTTAGTTATCAAAGATACTTAAAACAATAACTTTCCTATTTCTGCATAGCAGAAGCAAACAGGTTTTAGAGCTCAATCTGTCATGCTCATGTTAATTTGGTTTTGGCAAGATAGTAATATAACCTTAACAATCACATTAATGAAACGGTAACCTCCCTTCCACTTCTTAAAGAGCCTTTTTTGTGATTTTACAACTCGGTATTTGGGACAAATACATGTGGACTTCTTGTAGCATAGAATAACAGACAATATTAGTAGCACTAGGGTTACTTAAACATGAAGAAACAGTTATCTTTCTCATTTGATTACAGAGCAGTACAAATTACGTATTACCTCAAAAATCATCGCCTGTATCAAAAGTTAAAAAATTTAGAATAATTTATAAAACACTTCCAGAATATCAAATTATCAGTCTTGAAATGGAGAATGAACTTTATGCTTATGAACACGCAAATCGATGCGTTACAGTAATACACGGCGTATTTGCTAGCTTTTTTTCCTTCTGTTTTAAGTAGCAAGAGCCCAGTTCTCCCCGCGGTGACGCAGGTACCATACGTATGGTCACTGGCACTGAGAGCAGAACAGGCCCTACTCAGAAGCTCACTGTACCATAAATTAAAGCTATTAAAAAAAATCTACAGTCTTGCATTGTTTTTATTTCATTATTTGCAACACCACACTTGCCAGCTGTGCTCTCCTGGACCACACAACCTACTTCCATGATCTGATGATAGCAACAGGGAAATCGCGTGTGCTGGGTTACGCAGTCCAAATAGATCTGACGTCTTTTCTACAATTCATTTTGTATCAGTTAGTTTGAAATAAAGAGAATATTGTCATTCCTACCTAGCCTTCTCTGGTTTGTACTCTACGCGGTGTGGATAAACCTTAAAATATAAGCCAGGTAAAATGATGGCCAGTAAGGCACTTTGTCAGAGAGGACACAGCTGTCCAGGCTGAGCAATCGGTCAAAGCGAGACATTCTCCGTTACCCAAAACAGTCATTCTATTCTTCATAATCACTTCTCTGACAACCCTTTTTTAGAAGAATACTTACTGACTGTCCCAGAATCAGCTTGACAATGTGTCCACCAAAATCTTTTTCCTGTTCTACAGCAGAACATGCAACAGTAAAATATTTCCCACTTTTAAATACGAATGTCTAAAAGACCATTCAGCATCCTTGTAAAACCCAAGAATCAGCTGCTGAGTATACTTGGAAAAAAAAACCACCTCAGCATGAGAAATGATCCCATCTTTCTTGGGTCTCTGTTTTGTTTCTGGGGTCACTTTTTTCCTTTTTTTTTTTTTTTTCTTTTTATACAAAATTTGAAGGCTTGACATTAAAACTTTGGTCTAAAACATGTAAATGAAAGCCATCCGTTACTATGCCATAGGGAGGAGACACAATGAATCCAACCAGAACTAAACCAAACGTGATTGCGTGGATGTGATAGCGGGTGTTTCCGACTGTCTCTTGGTTTCTACATTCTGCTTGTTCGAGATCTTCAAGAGTTCTTCCTATCCATGTGAAAGGGTTTTTCTGCAGAGCCACCCTGCCCTTCCAAAGCTTCTCCCGGGAGAGGACAGGCCCTGCCGAGGGCCGGGCAGGACCACGACCCGCTGAAGCCCTTCGCCAGCGGCAGCTCAATGGGCTCTCGCTGGGTTTTCCCTTCCGCCATCTCCTCCTCTGCTGCACGGCAGGCGCGGGCCGAGGGGGAGCCTTCCATCACTCTGGTCACAGGGCTGGCCTGCGCCTCGTCCAGTGGGTGGGCATTTTGTCACCGACTGCCGCAGGCCCAGGAGCAAAGCATATACGACATATTCTACCATGTTACAGATAGCCACGTGTTCCACTCTCTAAAGTGAAGAATGGAATTTTAAATTTTATCCTAAACCAAGCAACAAAGTAAACGTCCAAATCCATAAACGTCGCTACTGGTACCTCCTCTGTGGTGTAAGTCCGCAGACTCTGGCCCAGAGGATTAGTTAGGAACCATTTTAATAAGTTAGTCTCAAAATATTTGAAATGATTCTTTCCCAAGTAAATACTTGCATTAATTTCTACTTAATTCATTAATAGCAATTTATTTTTAAAAAGCCAATTTTAATATTAAATCATTATGATTTATTTATTCAATTTATTGATTACAAAATCTACATGGTATTGCTTTGTATTTTCACAGTTCTCATAATTGTATCATTAAGAAAATGGCTTTTAAATTTTCTTCTCAGAAATGATGATCACTTACATTCTAAATAATTTCACAAAATAGTGAGTGGAGCAAATTTATACATATATATATTTTTACTGTATATAAATAATAATACAATTTAAAACTTTCACTTTTAGAAATTCCTTTAGTAAATGCATAGGTTTGTTACAAAAGTCTTCTAATCAAATAACTGTATACTATTTCTATTATGTTTTATTCCTAGTAAACTCTATTGTTACATTCATATGATAAAAAAAGCACGCTGTATTCAGAAATACGCTTTTTCAGTTGAGCTCCCAGTAAGACACTCAAGTCCAGTAGAAATATAGATCACTTAATAATGCAGTTTCTTTAGCCGCAAACTAATCACACAGTAGTATTAAAAAAAAAAAAAAAAGCTTTAGCATATGGACTGTAATCAGACCAGCAGCTTTTTTAATCACAGAATGGTGACACGTACCCCAAAAAGTTACTGGCTTAATCTCAGAAGAAATTAGAATAATGGAGGGGTTGTATATTCAATGCCACGCACATAATGAGAAAGGAATGATGGCGATGATGAAAAACTTCATCAGTCAAGAGTCTGATTTTTTCCGAAGGTAAGTTTCTCAGCCCTTCCTGAAAGTCAGGTCTACTCTAGGGTATCTCAAGAGGGGTTATCCAACACTGAAGGTGCCCACAATCAGTAGTTACATTTGAAACTGTATGCCTTTATTTTACATTATTTGAGTCCTAAATTGAACCACTCCTTTCTGCTTCAGGGCAAAGGGCTACAGCACCCACTGGATCACAGGGAATGCATACGACTTTCCTGTCACTTGCACCTTAGTTCACGGGATTTCGAGATCCTACCATGCCCACGGCTGCAAGCATGTGGGTGGTAATCACTTGTGCATCAGCGTCACCCCGGACCTGTTGCATGAAGGACAGTATTTCTGCCTTTGGAGTGATTATGGTCACCACAAACTGGAGCCATAAGTTAGAGAGCAAAATCACTTTGGGATGTGGATCATCAGTAAATTGTCCCCAGAAACTTGCATTCAAATCATATGGAAAAGAATTTGCCTTTCTCTTTGTCACACCAGCAGGCTCCTGGGGCTAGAAAAGTATACCCAGGTGCTGAACTCCCATAACAGACCTGGCAGAGGTATGGCACAGGCCACTCCTGGAAAGCGGACAGTAATGGATTACCTTATTCAGTATGGTGGAATCCCTGAAAACTAAGGGCAGGCCTCAGTATGGTTGGGTCCTTGGGCATCCATGAGACTAATAAATTAAAACCTTTTCAGCTCTGCTCATGGCAGTAACAGACTTGAGAAGTACTCCAGCGTAAGACCTTTTCCATGAGCAGAGCTGTTACTAACCTCAGTGACAGTTCTACTAACGGGAGGGTCATAAAACAGAACAGAATGTTAACGTGCTTTTCTACCAATAGATTTTGTACTCATGACTGGGCAAATTTAATAATCAAAAAGCAAACTAAATCTCTTGGAGCATCTTCCAGTAGCTAAATAATTCATCCTGTATCATGAGAAGACTCAAGTTCAGTGTCTCAATACCTTACTGCGTGGGCCACTGAGAGCCTGGAGACCCGCAGAAAGAGCACACCGGGCTCTCGGCACCCGCATGGTCATTGCAATGTCTCATTAAGAAGCCCTTCTGAGCTAGGCAGAGGCAATGGAATTCCTTGTGCACATATACAGCCAAGACTTTCTTCCAAGGAAAAAAAGACTGCATTTGGTTTTCCTTTCCATGAAGCTCAACTTCCTCATAATGTAGAACACAATCAGAGACTCGTTAGAGATAGGGGGATATTAACACAAGTGCATCTCTCTTAGACATCAGCTAAAAAAGATACGTTTGCCACCTTGTACCAGATGAAACCTCATTTGTGTGAACCACAAATCACTTCAAGTGCAGTGGAGGGACCTTCTCTCAGTTATATCACCTTTTAAGCACAACTCACAGAAAACTTCACTTTAAGCAGTATCAACTACAATCTCCTCCGACTACCTTCTTTGGGACCTGCAGGGTACCATCATTTCTTAAAAGATGCAGTTGT